TATATATACATACACACACAAATAGAACAGGATTCCAAGAGCAATATGGGTTTCCTAAAGAGAGAGCCCAGCAGATACTGATTGCTTTGCAGCTCCCTTTCCCTGACTGAAACTTCCCACAGAGCAGTATAATAGGGAGTTCTGCAAACAACCAGCTTCTTTTAGCATTGTATCAGAAAAGATACACCGATGAATGTGAAAATCAGATTGCAGCTCCATCTGCTGAATGCAAAATATAAATATTCAATATTTCATATTTTTCAAAGAAAAATTTGTGTGTGCGTGTATGCACAAATACATATAGATGCTTTTTTTGGAACAAATATGCTGGGGAAAAAAATACTATACAAAAAAATACTATACATTCCCAGAGAGCTGTGTAGTCTGGGACAAAAGACTTTCCTACTTCTCACAATAGGTCCATTGTATATCCATCAGCATCAATCCATAATTGAAATACAAGTTTTGGGTGCACAGAACTTAAAGGCTACAGTACTAATAAAGACATGTGTTGAAGGAACAGATTAATGGTACTAGCAATAGAAATAGTCTATAAGTGGTTGAACTGATGACTATCATTCGTAGCCATTGCTGGTCATATCGCTGTTCTGCTCCAAATGCATTAATCCTGTTTTCGGTCATCCAGCTTGTTTTTAGGGATAGTTTAAAGTACCAGTTTTGGACTACTTAATACCTGGGTAGATGGCTGCTTAAATGATACTATCCACAAAAAATATATATTAAAAAAGAAGCAATTAGATGTAGATATAAGGCAGCAAACAATAAGGACTCTCTGCGACCCAGATTTGATGCTGCTGTTTATGTATAATATTCCTAAGAAGTAAAAATGTTCCTAGTACAAGGTGAAGAAGCCTGCTGTGTCCGAGACTTCTCACAACTGAACAGGCTCAAGTTCTTGATCGTCTAAAAGGTTTATTAGCATTGAAAAGCTGTCCTTTACAGCTTCCATGTTGTCCAGTGAGGTTGGCTGTAGAATCCATCTTTTGCCTCGTGCCAGTGGTTCAAGTTCGAAATACTTCTTGATCTAAAAAGAGAGGACAACAGACATTTCAGCCAGGGCAAATTAATGCAAGTTACAGCATAAAAAAACATCTCCTAAAGTGTTTATTTTAAATTTGACTTTCCAAATTACAGGCAGTCCCCGGGTTACGAACAAGATAGGTTCTGTAGGTTTGTTCTTAAGTTGAATTTGCTGTCACTGTGACAATTGGATTTTGAAAATTTTGGGTTGTTGTGGAAACAAGGATTGGAAAGCTTCAGTGGAGACACCTTTCCCCCCATGATAACTCTTATAGGAGTGAATTTCCCTTCCTATGGGGAAGATTTCCTCTCACTTCCTGTTGTCTCAAGGATAGGAAGTGAGATTAAATATTTCTAATGAGGATACAGACACCAGTAAAAACCTCACAGTGACCTGGAAGAAGAGGCGGGCACCCCTCATCTGCACGTCTTACAAGAGCCAACTTCTTGTAATGTAATGTACGTACAATACTACGAACCAGACCCAAAGCGCGCTAGCATTACAACTACCCCTGCTGTACAGTAATAGCCTCCGTTTGCAAGTAGGATGTATGTAACTCAGGGACTGCCTGTGTAACTTAAATCATACACAGCAAGGAAGCTAAATTAAATTCTCAATTAATTTCAGTTTTCCCAGCTCCAGATCATCCTCGGTGCAGACAAAGTGGTCCTCTTTAGTAAAATGCTTTGAAGTGGTGTAGGAGCCAGCAGGAACTACAGCAGGGGTGGGGGGTAGGTATTCTACATACCCAGAAGGGTTGGGTAACTGCAGCAGCCATAGCTTACAATACTTAACTTAGCTACTATACTTACAGTATGTAGCTTACTCTCAATACAGAAGAGTATAAAGACAAAAGACGCAGACAAGGTAAGTATGTTCCTCTTTTACAGGCTGCCTTTAGTTTACGATAGAGGTTACTTAAACCCTTTTATATCCAAAAGGTAATTAAGGACCTAAACACACTTGGCCATTTTGGTGCAGCACAACTCTTGCATTTGACTTCATGAAAATCCATGTCAAGTAGAAATTTCCTGTTCCTATATGGCTGGTTCTTCTGTGCAGCAGTTTAGTGTGAATGATGAAGGGAAACTATATGGGCCCATGAGCACTGCAGGCAAAGAGAACAGTATTAATCTACCTGGTGAAGGGCTTTGCTCAGACACTTCCTGTTATGGAGTGTCAACTGTCTCCCAGTTGTGCTCCTTTTCCATTCCTTCATATGCGCCTCTGGTGGAGACCACTGGCAGTCGTGCCAGCACACATTGTATGGGCACTGTTCATTCTCAAAAAGTGGCCGAAGGCAATGATATGCAGCACAAGCATGAGCAAGTATATGCAGACAGGAAGTGGCTGACAGAAGTTATAAGAGATCAGCTGCACTGAGATGCCAAAAAAATGCTTTAGCAAACTAAATGTCACCCAATTAGAGTTTATATCTACTTTATTATCTTTTGAGAGAACATATCAGCCACACGGAATGTGCTGTTTTAGTAAGTGGGCCAACTTACACTTGTGTTGTGTGGAGAGGCTCTATTCAATTAGATATAGAAAACTGGATTGTAGTTTACACAGGGCTGAGGACGCCCATGACAGTGCTGGGCCAATCACCAGCACAGTGACATGGCAGCAAGTAGTGAGTCACATATTCCCCCATACCCAAAAGTACCAGTTATTTTCCTTTACTTCTGGTGGCAGAATGGGGAGCAAAGGTAAGGGGAGTGTGTGCTGCTGGGCAGAGGGAAGCTAAGTGAAGCTGTTATTTTTCTTTTACGCACAAGGCACAGGTTCTCTTTAAAGTGGTAATGTTAAGAATTGAGCATAAAGGAGTGAAACGTTTCCACCATCAGCCATCTATCTCAGATGTCTGCGTGAAATGGAAAAAAAAGCTTCAAAACATCTAAAACCATCTTTCTCAGAAATGACTCCAAACAAGAAAATGCACCCAAGGCAACACAAACTAACAAGAATGGACAGCATGTCAACTCCCTTCACAGAAACAGACAGTGCGCCGATCCAAAAATTCAAAGGGGCTCTACTAAGTAACATTCGTGCAAAGTTACATTATCGTGCATTTCTCAGGTGTGCACCTCTTCTTTACAAAGCATATTCTACAGCCATGACATATACACAGAAATAGTCTAATTTTGTTTTCAGAACTCGATGTCAATAAAATGTCAACAGAAAATCAAATGTCTTATGAAGCAATGACCGAAATGGTACATTCCACCCACTGAGAATCTGCTGGTTTTTTCAAACTTATTAGCGTAAATAGTATTTTCTTAGTGAATTATCAAATGTGTTGCTCTACTAATAAACATATAAAATATGTTTTGGGCAGACACCTGCATGTTAAAGCATGTCAGACATATTTCTGAGATTCCAGCAGCAAGATGATGTTTTTGGACCACAGATCCCCGGCTTTTATTGTTCGGGTTTACGCCGATTTATTAAATGTCCCTCCCCCATCTACAACTTGACTTTTCCCTTCCAAGAAGTTTCAGAAAAATAAAATAGAAGAGAGTATTTTAACCTTCTGAAGCCCCAAAAAAAAAAAATCAGATTTAGGCTGAAGAACATTTTACAAACATATCATGAATTTATTAATGCAGACATGTAAAGTAACTGATCCACTTTAAGGCTGGCTTCCCACCACTGCATTTGCATTAGCCTGTGTGCGTTACTGTGCACTGCCATTTCCATCAAAAGGTCCTTTAAAGTGGACTCCAGTTTTACCTTTCATCTTGCAGAGTTGTATCGGCTCCTCTCATGTACTGAAATTTCTCACTCTAATATCACGCCAGACCCTACGCTCTGAGCTTCTCACAGTGTGCATTAGCAGCTGCAGCAAGTCTGATAGAGCCAAACTCATTTCCTAGCTGAAAGACACGCAGCATCATCTAGCTCTTTTTCTCCCCAGGTTGACTGCCCCAGGCCCGCCCCTTTCATTCATAGGATTTCAGTTCTTTCAATTATGGAGGCTCGGCATGACATGTAGGTGTTTTACCTAGGGCAGTCTGCATGCAAATAGAGTCAGTCTAGGAACAACCACCCTTTCAGTAAACGTTATTTTGATATTTGCAAAACTTCGAAACAGCCAGCACACTGGTTGCATCAGAGCTGAGGAGTCTTGGGGCAGGGTATTGTGATGTTTTCAGAAAGCTATGCACTACACCCTGCCGGCCCCTCCCACCAGCCATGATCTGCCTACATTCCATAGTGAAGCATAGAGACCCAATGATGACATTGCGGGGTCTAAAATAAGGTAGGCAATGGAAAGGTATGTATTTGAAAATTTAATTAATATGTTGATATGGGGGTGGAGCCATGGATGGCAAAATTTAAGCAGAATGAACTTCATTTTGTCGAAACATTGAAAACAGCAGCAAACCTGAAATTGTTCAGCCAACACACCATACAGGTATGAACTACAAGCAATAAAAATAATGGAAAAGCTGAGCATGTGTTAACCTGCATCGTCATACTGTGCCTGATGAAGGGACCCTGAGTGGCCCTGAAACATTGCCTGTTTGACAAGATTTGGTTACGCCAATAAAGACACATTTGGACACCTGATCTTGGTGTGCTGGTGACATACTACGGTTTAGTTTGGACTCTCCAGCATCATCCACAGTCACTCATATGGGGTATACCGGTAAGGAGTTCAGTGGGATCTCTACAGAATCTTAACCTCCATTAAAACACAGAGGTGATGACACTCATAAATTATTTTTTATTTCCAGTCTCATTATAATAATGAATTTATTTAGCAGTATATATGGATACATTTCAGCATTGTTTGTTTAAATTCGGCTTTATTTAACCTCCCCGGCGGTATTCCCGAGTGTAGCTTGGGGTTACTTTTCCATACCATAAGTGGTAACCCCAAGCTACACTCGGGAATGCGGCATAGCCTTTACTTGCCTTGTCCCTCGAGCCGCGCTGTGTTCTCTGGCCGATGCCAGGTTCCGTCCCTTGCGAGTGTACGCGTCGCAGGGGGGCGGGAATCGGCGGGATATTAAAACAAAAACGAAAAAAATAGACCGAAAAATGACACGAAAAAAATCATACCGCCAGGGAGGTTACCTTACCATTTCTATATTCTAGTATATGGTCATCTCAGTGAAAGGACAATTGACCAGTCTTCAGGTGTGCACTATTATATCTTGCAACTCTCTGGTTAGGCTCTTCGCCTGTTGATGTACACGAATTAAAAGAAAATCCAAGCTCCTCTGGTTAGCAGTAATTAGGCAATTCTAATGTCTCAGATTAGGAATAGTCACTTGGGGTCTTTTTACCTAAGCTATGCGAGCATGGAAGATTTTGGGGGTTATAATTTATAAACAGGCACCATAGTGTAGACCTGCAGGGCACAAGACTGATATGGAGGTCAGTGTAAAAGTGAGCAGTGGATTAACAACTACAGATAAACAGTGTAGTAACCTCCAGGTTGAGGTGGCACAGAGAAGGATGAATGCATCAAAATGCTTTTTTCATCATTTCTTTTTCATGGCAACTACATAGTGTTTTATATATGTGCTTTGTGTTCTTTTATAACATAAAGCGGTTTCCAGAGATAACTTTGTGGCATTAACCTTCACATTGTCACTAAACTGCATGATCCATGACCTGCCACCTCCATCTAACAAGGTGCTTCATTGGAGAGCCCTCAATACCCTACTCTGTTTTTAAACATGCTGTTTGGGTCAATCATCATCCATTCACAATTTCATCATTCTCAATTTTGGAAGAACTACTGCATTTCCAGTTTGGGATTTCAAGGATATTTTCACTGTGCATCAACTTGAAACCCTGTGTAAGTTAATCTAACAATAGTTAGCATACCAGCACAGAAGTAATGCCTGAACACAGTTTAGTTTGCAAATTCTTTTGTGGAAGGGTATTTTCTTAAGGAATATTAGTTTTCCACACTCCTACCAAAATAGCCGCAAGTATGCAAAAAAATATTCTGACACTTTAATGTGCAATGTATTTTACTGGCCAGG